TTATCAAAAAGATTTAATGATTTCATTTTTGTTTCTTCTTTTAATGATATTTTGAATGTAAGTATATTGTAGTTATTTATAAAAGTTTAATAAAATAGTAATTCTAGTTGTATGTATTTAACTTATTTAATTAAGTATTATGTATGTAAATATTAGTGTCTAATGTGGTCATGAATTAATATATAATAATGTTAATTTTTGTTTTTGTTTTTTTTTGTTTTATATTTTTTATTTTGTTTTTATTATTTATTTTCTTATAATGATATTTAAGTGTAAGTATAAACAAATAATTAATAAAGATTTGGAAAGGTAGTAATTCTAGTTTGAAAATACATATAGTTTGCTTATTGAAATGGTTGGTTTTTATGTAATGTCTTATGGTTTGGTATATTATTCCTAAGATTATCTTTGTTTTAAATTTAAATTTAAATTTATATTTTGGTTGTTTTGAATACGGTTTAGTTGGTTTTTGACGAAGTTCTAATATTTCTGTTTTTAAATTTGCTATTTTAGTAGAGTGTTTAACTCTAGGTGGTCTTAAATTGTTATCATGTTGTTTCAATTTCGTATTATTAAAATTTGCTCTTAAAGTTACATAATTATATAGTTTTTTATTTTTAAACTTAGTTATTATGTTTATGATAAGATAGATATAATATAATGTAATGTAATATGTATGTACAATATATATATATTTTGTGATTCCACTTTATTTATTATCTTATTATATAATATTTGATTACGCGTTCTTTTTATGTATTTTATTGTGGTATAGTTTTCAGTATGCATAATTGTCTCAATAATTTGATTGGATTTGGCATTGTGATTTATCATTGATCTAGGGCTCCACTTTGTTTCATTATTATTATTATTATTGTTCATAGTGTTAATTCGATTGTATGTTGGCGGATTTATTTTCGTATTTTTAGATATCTTAAATGTAATATTCTTAATTGTCTCCCATTGTAGTAATTCATTATTTACTAAATTTATTTTATATGTAACTATATTTTCGTAGTTCGAATTTTTAAAATTATACGAATTGTCAAAGGTGTTTGAATATGACGTGTTTGGTATATTATATGTTTCCCTTGTGGTTATATATTCTTTTTGTATATGTTATTTATTGGTAATAGTTTTTTCACGTGGTGTTAGTTCTAAATTGTTAAGAAGATATAGTTTTCTAAATTGTTGTGTTTGTTTAAATGACTCCATCTTATATTGGATATTATTGGAAATAGTATTTCCTGTTGAATAGTTGTATGTGGTATTAAATATAATGTCTTTATTGGCTTTAATTTTAATGCCTGATTTTATTTTGTATTTTTCATTGTGTTCTGCTAGTGGCTTTTTATGTATTATTCTCTTTTTAATGATATTATTTAGAGTAATTGTTTTCTTTGTATTTTCTGTATTGGCTTTATTAGCTGCCAAAAATTGATTTTCCAAAATTATCGCATTGCTTAGATTTTTCGTTACGCAGGCGGGTGCTTGGAATATTGTATTTTCGATTTGTGGGTTTATTGTAGCCTTGCCTAAAAGTTTACATGGTGTTTTATCTGGATCCGATATTTTATATATTTTATGTGGTGGGCTGATAAATTTTGGATTTATTAGATCTGGACGAATGCAGTTTATGGATACTCCAGAATCTATGAAAATGTTTGTGTTTTCATTCTTTATACTTGCTTGTATATATGATTCATTCATTTTTCTATTTTTGTCTATTATATGAACTGTGTCATTTTTTATGTTTTTATTAGTTGGCGTTTGTTGGTAATATTTTGTATTTATTAGTGTTTCTTGGACCAAAGGATTATGTCGGTACCCTGTAGGTTCATTTAATCTGTTTGTTGGTTTGTTTTTAAATCATTGTTTTTTAAGTAACAATCGTTGGAAATATGGCATTTTTTATTTCGTAAGTTCCACGTTAATTTTTTCTTACATTCTGTTGTATTTTGGTTGAATTTGTAACAGTGTTTGAATTGATGTGAGTATTCAATTTTATGATTTTTTGGTGTTTTATTGTCATTGTTATGTGGTAGTAAATAATTATCTGAATATTTTCCTGTTTATTAACGTCATAATTTGGTTGATAATAATTGTGATAATTATTATGGATTATGTTTTGCTGGTTATCTTCAAAATTTGAATTTATTTGACTTTTGTTAAATTCAATTTGGTGTAAGGAATTATGTGCTAAACGTCTTGTATATTGGTTGTTATTTCTATATTGATTAATGTTTGAATTATTTACGTAATTGTTATTGTAAATTTGTTGGGAACATAAATCGTTTAAAATCGATTCTAAGTTAGACATCTTAGATGATAATTTTTCTAATTGTTTTGTATTATCGTTATTTATTGTATTTATAGGTGACGCGTCATTTGATCCGGTAAATAATATCCGGCGACAAAAGATCCGCGACATTTGGTCCGGTGAAAAAATATCCTGTACCAAAAATATCCGAGGCAAAAATATCCGATAATTTATTTTTTATTTTTTAAATAATTTAATTAGTTAATACATTTAATAAATAATATTATAATCGAACGTTTTTTAAAAACATGTTTATATATAGCCTCAGATTTTGCTACATTTTGAGCATGTGAATAGTCAGTGTGTTTTAGAATCTCGCCTATGAATAAAGTGAATAAACAAATAGTTTTTTACTAAATAGTTTTTTAACTAATAAGTTATTTTAATTACCTGATTCATCTTCTGAAGTAGTGTGACATCGGCTTTTGCATGCAAATTTTTTATAATCAGAGCAACGCCATACAATTTTATTTTCGTACACTTCATGCTTGCTGTACAGAAAACTGTTATACACCAACATATTTTTGCCTTTTTGGCTTTTAATAAATTTTAGTGGTATCATTCAAACTTATAAAAACCGCGAGCAAAGAAATTTGTATCGTATGGACATTCACAATAAACACTAAGAAAAATCCAGTATACTGTACAACATTATGAGGACTATTATCGAATAGACGTACCTATACAGATTACAGAACACACACTAAATATGATTAGATTGTTCACATAGGTACATAAACTATAATCGACGAAAGTAGTACAGATAAGATTGATCGATATTTTTTCTGTCTGTACTATTCTTATAATAATGAAAAACATAATATAATATAATATAATATTTAAAGACTTATAGAGATGTGTGTGTACCTATACGTTCACGTGTCTGTGAATTGTGTAAGATTATGTTGGTTTTTGATTGTTTCCGCATAAGATCGCCCTACTACTGTGTTTTACCTAAGTGCCTAATGATATTTGAATCTCCTACTTTTATTATATAAATATTCAAACACTTACCTCACTGCAGCTGGTTCTCTTTTAAGTGGTTTGTAGTTCTTCGGGGTCGTGTTCGACAGTCGATATCACGATGACAATATATGTATAGTCTTTTATGTGATCTGTAGGATTTCGTATACAATTTATATCTGTGACTGTCACCATATGCTCTCAAAATCCTTGCATTAGTAACAGGAGTACGTATAGTCTCTCCGCCAATCGAATGTAATTTAAAGTGATGAATATTTGTTATTACACATTTATATCTTGAACACAGCTCTTAGAGTTCCTACATTCGTGACAACTAGTACGTATAGTCCAATCGCCGACCGAATGTAATTTAAGTTAAGAGAGCACTTATTACTATACTCGTGTTCTAAGACATAAATGTGCAGTAGTGATGCAACAGGCCTATAATATGATGATAGTCACAAAACCTTATGTTTTGAAAGACCAATGGATAGGTGAGTGTAAAAAGATGAACAATTTCAATTTAGCTGTGAAAGAGACAACTAATTTAGACAGACATACCGGGTGAAGGAATGATTCAATATACATATATTGTATACGCATAAACGCACAGTGATGAGCACTCCTTTGGACAGTAGTGGAAAAAGATCGTGATGTTGACTGGCGTGGTCGTTGTGCATGAGTCTTCTCCTGAAAGATACTGTCGTGGACCATGTGTATCTCCGGAATAGACACTGGAGACGAGTCGATTCTCTGTGGCCCTTATATAATATGATTTTGGTTGATCCCTTCTTCTTGTGCATGGAATAAAGTATTGATATATTTTTATTATTTCGTGTGGTGTGACAACGGTACAGATGGTAATTTATAGTTTTGTTTTGACCGAACGTCTTGATTGGAGAATTATCGAAGGGGACTTGAAGTATATAATATATATATATATTATATATATGTAGTGTTTGAAAATTTCATGAAATTTAAAAAAATGAAATATTTCGTGAAATATTTCATGAAATATTTCAGTATTTTAATATATTTTGTTTTATTTTTAAATAAGTTTTATATTTACATATAATTGTCATAAATTACTTTCATCACTATATGGTACCTGTATGTATACCTAACCTTTGGTATTATACATTTAAATTGGTATTCAAAATTTTTAAATATTTTAATGTTTAAATGATACAAGTAGGTATACAATATTATACATGTATATTGTATAGTTACTGAATTCTGACATTAGAATTTAGAAAACTGAACATTGTGTTAAAAAAATAAATAAATTGTGTTTTTATTGGTGTTAAAAAAAATTTCAATGTTTCACGTTTTTGTGAAATATTTCACAACTTAGTGAAATATTTCTCATACTTCAAACACTATATAATATATGTGTACGTACACGTGTGATGTACGTATATGTATATGAAAGAATGCATTCATGATTTTATAATATACGGTGTTTACTGGCGCCGTTGATATTTGATTGTGTTGTCTCCACTAAACATCTGGTCGGAGAGGTGTAGAATATTATTTATGTGTTGCAGGTGCTGCGTGTATGTAAAAGGAGTGCGTATATTGTAAGTATATATGTACCTAATGCGTACGTATATATGCATATCGGACCACCCACACCCCATAATATGGTCCGTCTTCATTATTTGTCTCGTGTTTTATTCTAAGTCTAAATATTATATATTAATTATTATTATTATTATTAAATATTATATAATCTATCTCCTTTAATCTTTGCTAAATGTTGTAACGTACGTAGTGCTTGATATGGAGCACAGGAGGTGCCATATGTAACGGTACATAGCCTATATTCATCGATGGGTAAGTCACGGTTGAAACGCCAAAAAATCCGCAAGTAGCCCCGATCGGTGTGATGGATTTCGATTTGCCGATACATTTGCTTTATGTCCGAAGTGAACAAAAATGTATGTACTCGTGCACGAGTCAAAATTTGAGTGATCTCTTGCTGTAGCTTGCGCCCAGTATATAAGCTTGTATTCAAAGATTGACCTGTGGTGGTTCGAGCCGATGCATCAAAAACCACGAGGAGCTTAGTCGTCTGACTTTCCGGGCGTAGAATGCAATGATGAGGTATATAATAACAATAAGGAGTATTCTGATTATTTTTCGGAACCGCTTCCATGTGTTTATTTTCAAGATAATCCCTTATAAAGTCTGAATAGTTTTTGTTAAGATTTTCGTCACGTGATAATCGAGGTTCGAGGCTATGGAACCGTTTGAGGGCTCCACTTTTGGAATCTCCTAGGATGGGGTGTGAATGTTTGAAGGGTAATGCAACACTGAACCGTCCGGATTCCAGGCGTTTAATTGAAGAAGTGAATATTGCTTCAGCTTGAATTTCATCGGAACTTAGATGTTGAACATTAGGTGGTTCTTCCATTTCCCAGAATTTGGTCAAGGAGTGTTCTAACGATAGATTAGAAGTCACTAACAAAGAAGTAACCAAATTTGTCTGTTTTGGTGAGACTGGTCCCATCAATACCCATCCAAAGATAGTACCAAAGGCAGTTGGTTCTAAAGGTTGACCTGCGATGCGATTTCCCGTGAGTAATGTAGGTGCAACATCAGCCCCCAGTAAAATATCGATTGGACCAGGAATATTGAATGTTGGGTCAGCTAAATCTAAATTCGTCAAATGAGACCACAAAGAAGATTTAATATTTGATTGAGGTGTGGCGTCTGTAATTTTGGATACAATGAAAACGTCGAGAGGAACAAGTGGCTCAGACTTTCCCAATGGTGACAGCCTGATAGAAGTTATAACTGATACCACATTAACAGACGTGCCTGAGAAGGCATTCACCTGAGCTGAACAGTGACGTCGTGCCAGTGAAAGACGATCAGCACAGTTCTTCGTAATGAAGCTAACTTGGGATCCAGTGTCCAAAAGTGCTCGGAAAGTGTGGGTCTCTTGATGGGTTGATTGGATGTTAACCAGTAACGTTGACAATAGGACAGATCGAGGCACTGCGTCAGCTACGAGCATTGTGGTGGGGGACACAGTGGTTGCAGCTGACGTTGCAGCTGCTGTAAAATGAAGCAGCGAATGGTGCTGCTATTGGCAGGATTTGCAAGTGTTTTTTGAAGGACACGTTGTATATGAATGACCAGACCCCAAACAATTGATGCAGAGATTAAGCCTTTTCGCTAGTTGGAAACGTTCGGTTGGAGTTTCACTGAGAAAGCTTGGACATTAACGTATGGAATGAGTATCTTTGCACATGGCACAGCTTTTGGTAAACGTCTTAGGAGTGCTTGTGGTTAACACTTTAGGAGACGGTCCAGGTTTTGAATTTGAGGTCGATTTTTGAGATGTCCCTTTTGGTTTGGTTGCATTTCCCGCTTGTGTGTGACTGTACGAGTGTACTTCTGCCGAACGGATATGACTACGTAAGAAATCAACGAATTCGTTAATTTGTGGAGAAAAGTTATCACCGACTGTCAGTTCCCAGCGAGACCTCAGTTCATAATCCAGATGTTTTTCAAATATGTGAATGAGTATAGGACCCCACTGACGAGTAGCAAAGGTCAGATTGTCTAATGCAGCGGTGTGTTCCAGAATCGTGTTTATTACGCGTTTAATTGAATCGTCATTGTTAAATGTAACGGTATGTGGTGTTAGCAAAGCATCTAGATGGATCCGAGCTAAGTCACGCTTATTTCCATACCGACTCCGCAGAATTTCCCAAGCACTTTTATAGTTTGCTGGTGTTAACGTGAGATGCACTATCAGAGAGAGTGCCTCTCCCACCAATGATGTCCGTAGGCATTCAAATTTTTCAACGTCAGACATGTACGGGGTATGTGAAAGTATTGACAAGAAAAGATCTTCAAACCCTTGAAATTCGGTTATATCACCGGAAAAAGTCGGAAATGACCGTTTTGGTAATTGGTAGATTGATAAATGTTGAGTCCCACCAAACTGAGTTGTATTATGTACCTGTGAAGTATCAGATTGCGAAGATAGTGGTATCTTATGAAACTTCGCCATTGCCATAAGGTCATAGTACATTGTATCAAAGGAATCAACAAACGACATTGAGCAGGTATTGTCCGTGACACCCTCAGATGCTGTTTTTGAACTTACTGCGTGCTCCATGATGTCAATATAATTATTGACCTCTATACGTATGCCCTTTAGCTCCACGAACATGGTTTCCACCTTTGCTCTTTTGCTGGTACTATTTTTGTCAGCAAGGTAGTCATTTACTGTTTTGACGAAATAAGTGACTCGGGCCAATGCTCGAACTACTCGTGCCTTTGCTTGGTAGTACAGTATTTCCCCTTCGTCAACTATGTTGAAACGTTTAGAGAAATTGACTCCTATGCGAAATGACAAGATATACCCGTAGAATAGTTTAGAAGGTTTAGGTTAGTCTTGTAGATCCGGTTCGAAGGACCAAAATATGTAGGGTATTTTGATGATTTGAAGGACCAGCTCGATAGAATAAATTTGTAGCGATTGTATCTACCGAACAGATTAACGGCGTCAAGGATAGGCAACCAAAGTTGCATGTACGATTAACGTTGTTAGAAGTGACAAGACGACGACGCCTACTCCCAAGATATACGTAATCCAACACACAGCTAAAACGGATTGATGGTGGCTGGCAATGACGCGACGATGGACAACAAGGAACCAGAACGCACCGAAACGCGAATGTGTGAAGGATATAGGTTATACAATGGGAAATAGGATTATGCAATTTACGTATAAGAGGGGGTCTCTCTGTGCTCGGGTCGGTCTGGTGCAATGACCACAGAGCTCACAACACGTGGAGATAATCTTACAACTAACTTATGCTACGGAAGTATATGCAGTTGTCACGATATCCACTGATGCCCCAGAATGTCCACGCATCAATGACTGAGGTGGAGGTATAAGATTGCATCTGGACGACCTGGGCGGCCACTCACACAACACACAATGATTGCTGGCGGGCTTACGCAAGTGACGAGTGATGCCAAGAATAACGCGGGTGATAGTGTAATGATCACCGTCCGTTCGATTCTTATTGGCGATAGTCAGTTCGGATTCTCTAACAAAGAGGTAGATATTACAAAAGGAACCAAATGAATAAGTACTCACCGATTTTGAGCGAAATATTATGATTTATTGATATCCGTTCTGTAAATGATCTGCAGACTCAGTCGTATTATAATATTACGATTTCTGTTGGTTATGTTGACACAACGTAAATAAAAACTAGAGAATAGAAAAATATAAAACAATATGGTGGTGTTTACATTGATTGAGCAAAGACATTATAAATACGTTTTTGTATGGAGTGGATCGAGTATGTAATGAATAGGAAGAGACGGGAAGAGCGGGGATAAAAGAGTTGCCTATTGTGCGTGCTGTACGCTGTCCCTGTTGTAGATATAATGACAGAAATGCTGACGCCAGCAGCATGAACATCCACTTATATATTTAAAATTTTTTATAACATAGTAAACTATTAACAGTGTCATCCTCTGTAATTACCGATTTAGAAATCAACATACTACTGACTGCCAAGGACCCGTTCTCGTTTTTATTATTAAAATTATAACCTAAGAAAATCTAGGAAAACAGTTTGTATAACAAGTCTTATAATTTCTGACAGCTCTCTGTTATTAAGAAAATGCCGACTGATAGTTACGAAAAATTTGAAGGCGGTAGGGGGTAGACAACCCGCCATACTTCCATTGCCGCCGGCCATGCCTTTAAACCATAAGTTATTGAGCAAATAACTACCTAATAAGTAATGAGGTATTAATCATATTATATTATCATTGATATAAGAAAAACAATGTATCAGTCTATGATATTCCAGTTGATTATAATTTATAAATACCAGTATTTATAATCAATGATATAACTATAAGTATATTTGATGATATTCCGAATAAAGTAATTTATATATAACGTATTAACGTCCATTTATGTGGAACCTTATTTTAAATTTTAAATCATTAGCTATAAAAGTTGAACATTATATACATTTTTAAATTTTAAATTTGATACCTTCATTTTGTCAACAATTGAACTTTAAATGCTAATAAAGAAAATTGTGCATATGTATTTTTAATATTTTCAAATTTTATTGTAACAATATATTAGGAGCATTTCATTAATTTTTTAAGCTTTTTGACCCAACAAATAAAATTGTATATTCGTTTATAGAAAAAAAAAAAATAAAAATATTGGAAACTGAATATGAACGTTATTAGCTGAAATCAATAAAAAATATTTTGAAAATTTATCATGTATAGACAATGTTAATATAAACATAAAATTAAAATTTCTACGGTACCTTATTTGTTTTAGAGTTACACCAAAAATCAAAATCGATTTAGTTGAAAACCGATTTTGCGTATAATTCCTGTTTTTACTTAATTTTTTAATTGTTTTTTTCTGGCGCTGTTGAAAATACACATCATTGTAAAATCAATATATTTATCTCTCCGCTCAGTATCTAATATATTCTATTATATAGCCTATATTTTAGGATCTTGTATATGTGTGTAGAATAGTATAGGTAGGTATACTAGGGTGACAATAAAAAAAAAAAATTATTTCTGAAAGACCCACCCGCTTAAATTGTTTATCCATCTAATAACAACGTTCATAAAAAATTTCAAGAAAAAATTTCAATTTTTACTGGTTGCGCAACTTGTATTAAAAATATAATAGATATTTCAGTGTATGAATAAAAAAAAAATATATTTAATTATTAAAATAATATGAAAAAAGTTATAGATCATCATAATATTGTATAAAAAATAATCATCACACAAAATGTCAATCATCGATTGTAGATTTGTTTGGATTTGGATACTTCTGTCGGTGTTATTCAACTACTTGCAAAAGATACTGCTTTTGTTCTTCTTGATTGGTTATTATCCCATTGAAAGTTTGAATCAACGAAATCCCACGTTCAGCTGCATCGTTAACTACTTTCAGATGTTGAACCCTTTTACAACCGTCAATGAAATCTTTGTTATTTTCCCAAGTATCTGGATTCTGATTTAGGAAATCTTGGGGGATGTCCAAAGCTGTAAATAATATGAGGCTATTTTTAGAAACAAAATCAGACAATTGTACTGTTTGAACTGCAGTCGTCTCAACTGTAATACGCCCTAAAGGAAAGTCAGCTCCTTTTTTCACTAATGATATACCATATTAACTTTCATCTCAGAAGAAACTTTGCTGTCAAAAAAGGCTAATCCAATAAGTGTCTCACTTAAGTACCATAAATGTCTTGAGAAGCTTTTGGCAGCCGCGTTGCCTATAACTATATTTAATTTTTTATAGTTATCGAGTTCCTTTAAAAGATTAAGATCGTTATAAGGAGCTAGTTCTCTACTAGATGCAGTATACCAGTACTTAATATAAACTTGTATGACAAAAACGTTGAAGGCTTCAAGTGCAGATAATTCTCTAGCAGTTAGTTTGAACTGCGATCGAAATAAGAAAATTTTCAAGCTATAAATTAACTTTGCCATCCATCTAGCTCGATGTAAAGCGCCAGGTCTACGAATCTTAAAATCTTTAGCAGTTTTATCTCCTAGGAATATTAGGGAAAGTTGCAGCAATGCCTTGTAGTCATCTCTAGGCTGAAATGTCGCTAACTGGTCATTGATTAACTTGACAAGAACATATTTTTGTGGATTTAATTTACTAGCCGCAGTATCTTCAATTATTCCACTTTCGTATTTGTCTACATCAATTTCGTTCCACTTTTCTGCAAATCGTTGAAATATTTTGATATTAGGACCACTTGAAGCTCCCATTACCGCATTAAACACACTCTCAATAATAAGTTCCAGTATGTGGTGTCGACATGCTAAACTGAGGAGGTCTCTTTTCATTTTTTTTTCAAGAAGTACACACGCACCGGCCTTTATTTCACTGTTACTTGCTGTTGTATCAAAGGACATAAAATTAATGCGTTCAATTAAATTCCATTCTTCAAGTAACTCAAACACTCAGTTGCTTGGGCTTCCCCAGTTCCATTTGGAATTTTCGGCACACCAAGTAATTTTCATAATACCATCCCCTGATACTATAACTGCTAGGTGATCAACTTAATCTTTTGAAGTTAAATCTGGAAGTAATTTTCCGTCCCAATATTCCATTGACAATTTTTTTTTCTTCTATGTTTTCGATTGTCACCCTAAGGTATACCTATATAATAGTAGAATACTAAAATCATTTGCGCTTAGCTGTATGAGTGTATGACTTGTCCGGCGCGGATCCAGAAGATTTTAACAAAGGGTATTCAAACAAACAAAAAAGGGGCTCTGCTGTACAGTAGGTTACAAGTGGGTCACTGTATAATAGATGGTATTAAATATGAGTTCAATGATATAATATCATTGTATAAGAAAAACGATTCTGAGCGGAGACAGTGTCAGTCTAGGTATAAGACATATTATATAGGTACTTATCTATCGTATTAAAAAAATTGACCTATAATAGGTACCTATAATAAATTCCAAATTGAAAAAATTGAAAACTGTAAATGTCCGTACACAGCTTAAAAAAGTCAAAATATTTTCAAAATTGTATGGTGTAGGAAATGCTAATATTCAGTGAAATTTCCATGTATCTATAGTTATTCGTTATTGAATAACAACAAAATAAGGAAATCGCTACACGAGAAATCGAGTGAATATCAATGTTGTAAAAATTTGAATTTCAAACGCTCATAAAAATTTAATTTGACTTTCCGGTAGAGATTTTTTTATTGATAAAGGTAGATAAACTTATGAGTAATCTTGTATTAAAATTTCAAATGTTAGATTTAAAAATAAAATTTTTATGTATTTCTAACTCAAAAATAATTGCTTAATAATTTTTACGTATTTCGTCAAAATTGAACTTTAAATGATTTTAAGAAAAAATTGTGACTGTATATTTAATATTTTTTAAATGTCATTGTAACAGTATATGAAGAGCCTTGTATTAAATTTTCAAGCTTTTTTACCCAACATTTAAAATTCTATTGGCAATCATAGAAAAAAAAC